AGAACAGAGCTGGTTGGAGGATCTTGGTTGATGGTCAATGCTCCACAAGGAGTATTAGGATGTAATTAAGAATAATCAATAATTGGTGTACACGTAGACACTATTAGCCAAATAATAATTAGTGTTGCAGAAAAATAAAGTCATGACAAAAGCGGCTATAACTAATAGAAGTTGGTCGAATAACCCTGGAACGTATAAATGGGCATGCATTGGTAACCTGTCCATCAATTATTAACCTAGCAAATCTAAACGTTATTTCAAACATTTGTTTGTTTATTTAAGCAGTTAAAATCAGCTGTAAAATATTCAAAAACCAAATGAATATCAGGTGAAATAGGTGAGGACTCAAGCAGTCTTACTATACTTTGTATCATTTAATTACACTTTACAAGTTGGTTTCTTAATACAGATTAAGTTAATAAAATTAAACAAGCAAAAACAGTAACATTTTGTCATCTAGACCAAATATAGATTAAACTGAGTTATATTTTTACATAAGATACTATAGCTGACATACTTCAATTAGATACATATAAATATAAAAAGGACTAATATTAAATCACTTCAAATAAGCTTGATCAGTGTAGTCAATTGTATGAAGGAATACTGTTCATATCACATAGATTTTCTAAGATCATAAACGATAGATTTACGGCTTGGAACGGGTTTATTCAACTTCTGATTATCTCTTAACAATAATAGGAACAATAACGGGGCGGATTTGTATGCAAATAGCATATATTATCTCTTAGAGAAGTAAAACACGAGGTGAATATTAATTCAAATTTTCACAAAAAAATGTCACTAAAATTCTCATTTTAATTCAGTCAAAACTAATTTCTAATACCATGGGAAGGTTTTTTTTATAATATCAATGGTTGAGATCATGAGTTGATTGAAGCTAGATCACCATGTACAACCTGGAAGCACCGGACGGCCATTTCGTCCCATTTTGTGACTCCTCAGCAGTGCGCACCCATGATCCCGCACCTCGAGGGATTCGAACTCAGGATCTATCGGTCCCGCTCGCGGGCGCTTAATAATATTTTGTTTCATTAAAAATAAGACGCAATATTCATGCTTAAGCTAACTTTTTTTAATAATTGATTTGTTAAAAAAGTTTAAAATTGTTATATTATTAAATATATAATACATAATGGAAAAAAAATGGAACTGTAATTTTTAAAAAGGACATACAATTATGCACTAGAACATATTTCATTTGATGAATTAGTGGAAAGAAAAAAAGAACTAAGTGATGAATTTTCAAGAATCGCATTTGTACATACGTGTACAAATGTAATAAATGACATTAGAGAATGAAGTTAGTGGAATTCGAATTCTAAATTAACTTTTAGTAATTCACAAGCAAGAAAATCTACCCTTTCAGATAACTAAAGAAATATCAAAAGTACCAAATTTTTTTAATACTGATTAATTGTGAAAAATGCAATGCATTCGCTAGTCTAAGTGACCCGACAAAGATAGGATTTGATCAGCACTTAAAGAAATAAATAAACATAATGATGGTCACTACTAATTGAACAATCGATTGTAAATATCTTAGTTTTACATGAGGTTAACGAAGCCTCAAATAATACAGTGTTAACTTCGTATATTGTGATACTGTGTGACGATTGGTTGAATTTACCAGAGAGCATTTTTCATTGTAAAACTATAGGTATGTCTTTCTAAGGAGTGTTAAATAGCAAAAAATTCAAGATTCAGGGTTTCCTGTTGACTACTTCCAACTCTCTATTATCTTCCTTCTTTTGCTAATTTAAGCACACACAATAACCGTTGTGCTACTTCTGTCTCCTATCACTAACTTAAAATCATAATTCAGTAAAATATAGAAATAAAATGAATGATAGTAGACCACCAGTGGTAATGCCAATTTTACTGTTTACAACTATGTATCACATGACCAAAGAATATAGGTAACTAGAACAGTGGGAGCTACATGTAGTCAAAATGTCATTTATTTTTGACATCAATTTAATATTTTTATTTTCACTTAAATTGACAAAATTATCACAAATTAAATACATGGATTATTTTTCATCTTAAATAAATGATTATTATCAAAAGGGGGTTTTGTAGAGATTTTATTAATTTGATAGTTGAATTCATGAGTCGATTAAGGCTAGAAAACCAGGAAGCATTGAACGGCTATTTCGTTCTAGTATGAGCCTCCTCAGCAGTGCACACTCACGACCCCGCCTCGCGAGATTTCAACCCAGGACCTATTGGTGTAAAATCTCTACAAAACCTGATAATACTTATCATGTGCTCACTAATGACTGGCTTCAAGAGGTAATTCCTGGAGTCCTAGTGAGAAACCGTGATCAGTGTAGTTCAACTAGGTCTGTTCTGAGATAGCAGCTCACTGAAGACAATGGTAGATGGTGGCGCAATTTCGTAGATTGATTGAAGTTAGACATTTAAAACTTGGATGATGGCTCAGTGGTCTACAGATTGAGCGTTCGCTCACGAGACCGATAGGCTCTAGGTTCAAATCTCGCGAGAGGGATCGTGGATGCGCACTGCTGAGGAGGCCCATAATAGAACGAAACGACCGTCCAGTGCTTTCAGGTTTTCATGGTGGTCTAGCTTTAGTTGACTCATGAATTCAAATATTAAATTAAATTGACGAATGGTATATTTTATATGTTTTAGGTAATCGTTAATCAAGTATTTTTAGTGAAAATTAAAATAAACAATCTTTCGTTTCTTCCATATCCGACTGTTGTGAAATTGATGAAATAAATAGTAGATTAATCAAAAAAGATCAATTCAAAGGAAATCTTCCAATGTTTTTGTGCTAACACCAATTGCCAGTAACATAAACTACTTCATATTGTTTAATTATCTACTAGTTTTCTTAATTATTTCAATTAAAATGCAGAAATCTACTTGTGAAAGAAGAAACAGTGAATTCTCGGTACTAACACATAGGTATTCTCAGATAATTTATGTAAAACGTTGCGATTTAATATTTGTTTACACAGAAATAAATAGAAGTAGCCTATTTCTATTAATCCAGTGGTCGTATCATCAAAGTGAAATATGAAAACCATGATATTATTTTAATGTGTTCCCAGTTTGTAGAAACGATGAGTTTTTAAATCGGTTTGAATAGTATAAAATAGATTTATGACTTTCCTAAATTCTGTAAATACATAGTAAAAGTAAATTTGAAATGGCGACAATAGTATGATTACTGTTGTTAGAATATTCATTTCCCAAACTTTGTAAACACAGCAACAAAAATTATAACTATAAAATAAACAATGTAATATTCTAACCACAAGTTAATCAGCTTATATGATTAAAATGATTATAAAACTAATATATTTAAATATAAAAAGAGAATTATTGTAAAAGAGTACATTTTTCTATGTTAAAAACATTTTGGTGACTATCTTGGTTTGAAGACTGTCAAGTTTATTCAGTCAGTTTGTTTACTCCGTTCAGTAATTATGGTTTATTAAACATCATATTATACGCTACACTTGTTTATATGGATTAGCTAGACTTCAAATCGCTCTTTATCTAGGATCAACAACACTTAGAAAACTATTAAAAACAAGAGAAAATTGAATAGCTATGAGAGACAAAGTTAACCATTTCGGATGAGAGACACATATCCTTTATTAGTATAGGAGATTTGCGGAGAAGGTAGTATTTTTATTTCTTAAAACACGAACTATTTTTAGCTAAACCACCATTAAAAGCCTGAATAACCGTTCCTTCTAGTGTGGGACACTTCAAGAGTGTGTATTCACGATTTTGCAAGCAGGAATGGGACCCAGAACATCTGATCTCACGCGTGAACGTCTTACATTCAGATCAATGAGCTGGCATCAAATTATGTTAGTGTCTAACTTCAACCACTTGTGACTCCGAATAATTGTAACAGAATACCACAAATCTAATATATTTGGAAATCTGAATTTTTGAGAACCTACCCAGAAAATGAGAAATATCAACCTTTGAATGAGAACAAGAAATTACTGTCTCACGGGTGGGTGTTGTCAGAGTTCTAAATTAGGACAAAACGTACATCTACAGCTTTTTAGTTTCATACTACTATTATTATTATTATCAGCTTTATTCAATATTATATTTTTGGTACAATATGGAATTCTTAGCGCAAAGTATTTCAACAAGTTTCCGTTTCTTTCTTCTTGGTCGATCCTGGCGATAAATATTGAGTGATCGCCAGTTAGATGTTGGTAGTTTAGTAAATGAACATCTGAATAATGTGCATTCTTTTCGTTGTATATTGCCAGCAACCACATTGTCTCTTATTGAGTTTTTTGTAAATTTGACAACGAAAGGTTGTACACTTTTCAGAAACGCAGCAGAATAAGTTATGCGATTAATAAACATAATAATATATTAAAACAAACAAAAATAGATAACTTTTTGAAATATCTAGATGGCAGGAACAGGTAGCCCAGATGCTCAAACAGGCCGCCTTTAGTGCTCATTAGTTAAAAAGAAGTTTAGTCAAGCAGAATTTAAATGAAGTCAGACACAATCCAAATCATTTTATTATTCAATAAAAGTTTTGTATATAAAAAGATTATACTCAGTCGGAGTCAAATAAGACATAGAGGGATTCACTTTTATTCTTCGTATCCTACCCATAGAGACACAGATATGATTTTATGTACAGACTTTTGGATTAATAATATGGGTTTCAGCTCAAGTTTATACATATGACGTCTTTGTGTTAGCAGAAACAAGACTTATTTTTCAGTTGGTTATTTTTCCTTTTGGTAAATGACAGAGAACACAAACTGACAATTTCATTTCCATTACAACCTACAATATCAACCTTTTAAAACGTTAGTAGGTGCTACAGCATTTTTGTGAACAAACTGTCGAAGTTCAGATAACACGAGATATAATTTCACTACACAGGTATTCGGAAACTCGCGCAACAAGTATAAAAATTATTTTGAAAGATAATAATCAAAAAATATTCTTACTGATATTTCGATACGACGAATTTCTTCTTTTTCTGCTTTACCAACTATCTCTTCACCATAAAGTCTATTTACTTGTGATGTTCTAACTGATTCCACGCTTACGTCCCCAATTCGTTTGGAAAGATTCCTTTTATTCGAAATGGTGTCAATATTTATTTCTAACTCCTTGTTAACATTCGAATCCAATCTATCTGGCGGTAACTGAAGGATTATTGCTTCAATCTGACGTCCAAGTAAAATCTCTTTGAGTTTGCATATAATTGGTATCGCTTTGTACTGGTAATCTGTTGAATACGTTTCTCCAGTAGGTGATATTACATCGTTGTAAGCATATACTACGAATTGAGTCAAATGTTCCTTTGTACCAATCCATATGATACTTGTTTTTATCTGTTCATCACTTTGAATGTAATTTGTTACTGAAGGCAAATTATAAGCCTGCAAATGCACCCATTTATCACCAGTTTGTGACAATAAAGCATGACCATGTAGTGGTTTGACTGGCAAATAACGATAAGGGAAACGTAAAGATAAAAGTCGTCCGACTGTTACTTCTTCTTCAGTTCTATTTTTGGAATTGAATCTTGTGCACTGAAATTTGAATAAAACATTTCCATAATTGCATCATAAACTTAGCTTTTATCTTAACTTTAGAAATGTAAGTAAAATTAGACTAGTTTGCTTCTTACCAAGCAAGTAAAAAGGGTCCAGAAAATGAACTTTACTGATGTAATGCTTGAGTCTTAAACACTTGTTTCATTGTTACTCTGAATAATTTATACACTTACAGCTTATTCAGACTCATAAACCTCGAATTAGTGACATAATAGTAGTACGCATAACTTTTTATTTCATCTGTACAAATTAAGGAATATTCATTTACTTCTAAACTGCCACTGACTATAGAAAGTCTATAGTTGATGTTTTCATTTAATGTTATTAAAAAAGTTGAAAGTATCATCAGTAATCCTAGAGATTTCAAGGATAAATTTGCAAACTTTTAAATTACGTTTCACATGATGATCATTGAAATAACTAACTATATATATATATAAGGAATGTGTTTACCAATTTCAATCAAACCAAAGACAGGACAAAAGCGGAATATAAATTATTATTATCTAAATAACTTTAATAAAAATCAGCTAAAATTAAATATACATAAACATTGGCTTCGAATATTGTGCACATATACAAAAGTATGTGGGAGCTGTGGTAAATATTGAGTGGGTAACACTGTTTAAAGAAATTCTCAATATTCAACAGATTGTAATTGGACTTGTGCTCTCAGTAAAATATCAGTAGTTCTGTTCCTCGTTGTATGACATGGAATGCATGTTAGAATTATCAACATAAGTGTATGTTTCTTTTTTTCGATACTTTCAATTTCAGAAACTTAAATTTTGCTGGATCATAACTCATATGCAACTAGTATATAAATATGTTATGTGGAATATTTCATACCTAAGGATATGTTATTTTATCTGAGTCAATTGAAATGTAAATACTTAAATACATTGTGTACGTCCTCACTTTATAGAAAAGTCTGAAAAAGCAATAAAATACTTACAATATTTGAAAATGAATTTGATACAGGAGACGATTTTAAATCATTTTGTTTTTCATTAGTACGAACTAGTGGTCCATTGAACGAAGCTTTAAGTTCATTCAAACTATAAATACATAAAGCACTTCCAACTGGAGCTGATCTACAATCAAATTAATGAATCATATTTAATGTTAGTTGACTTTAATTAAAGAATCCAACTAATTTTAAAAACTACTGGTTTACGCTTACCATACTTTGGTGTAGAATGCTGTTTGAATGTTTTGAGCATCTTAACAGCATGAGAAGGTGGGCCAGTCATCTAGCTAAACAACAACTAGATATTTAGATTTAATTCATATAACTTGGAACTAAATATAATTCGTTTACATTTAGTGTGACAAGAATAACATCTTTAAATGTAGAGTAATATTGACTGATACTGAATGATTAGAGAAATCAACAAGAAGAATTGGACTTCACTTTCCATCACTTCGTATACATTAAGCAAAGATTATCTAAGATAGTTAGGAAGTTGACGTTCTTAGTAAGATTCGAATGGCAACTCATCTTATGTTTCATAATCATTAGTCTTAATCACATTACGTCAATAATAATGCGATATCATAGTTTTATTAGTTAGAAATAACTAAGACTTCATTACAGGTGTTACTACTAAGTTCGTACAGACTGAAAGTCATACGCCCTCCAGAAAAAAACATAAACTCAACAGTGATTAGTTCTACAAAATATGTAATTGTTTATTTAACGAAATGTCTGGAAAATCCCCAGTTTTTGTGTATAGAATGGTATCATATTATGTCATACAAATAGTTTTTAACCAATAATAATCCATATTTTTGACTAAAAGTACAAATGAAGAAATCTGCTAAAGATTCGGTTAAAATCCTTGATATTTTGAGACAATGTGTCTTTAAATAAAGATTACAAACTGTTAAGTTGATAGTATAATTTGGTCTGATTTATAAGTCAGTCTAGATCAGATTATCTTGGACACCTACCATGTCTCTATCGCTCATACTTAATTGAAAATATTTACAAAATAAAAACGATATATTCTGATGTCATTATATTTTCCTAAATTTTATCAGTAGCTAATCAGACCATTTACGAACAGTTAATGATGTGATAGAATTTATGAAGATTTACTAAACATACTAAAATTACTACTTATTTCATCACTGAAATAAGTTTGTGAATCACAATTACATAATTTTTAGTTGAATGGCTTTTCACATTTACGTTCAAGATTGGTTTAATCAAGCAATGTTAGTATATGGATTCGCTGAACAGGTGATTTCAAGTTATTCAAATTGATAGATTGATTATATTTCCATTATTGACTATCTATATAGATACATCAAATATATGTCAAACTATTAACAATAGTTAAATAAGGAACCTTTCAACAATGATTCATATATGATGCCTGTTGAACAACAGTGGTCTATCATAAGTCACTAGTCTAGTGGATAAACTACTATAGACAGAAATAATGTTATGGATTTACATAAATGAATGTATATTTAGTTAATAAAACAAGCGTAAAGTATTCCACTGTTGTGCATTATTCAAAATCTCATATTAGTTGTCAAATAATTGTGAAGTAATTTTAGATTTTAAATGATTTATCACAACAACAACAAAAAACCTGATACATATTTTCTCAGGGTTTATTTCAACTGTCAATCAAAGTTTGTGTAAATACTAAAGTTTTAGTATTTAAAACTCAATAATTACAATTTAAGTAAAACTTACTTTTCCGTTGTAAATGTTGCGTAAAGTAATTGTGTATTATTATCCCAATAAGCTGTTGAAATGTGTGTATAGCTAAAATATCCACCATTTTCATTTGTAGCTGGACATATTAAATCAGCTTTTGCAAATGTAGCAAAACGATTTGAGCTAATATATGGCAAACCACCTGGATCACCTTTACAAACTCTTACTAAACGTGCAACACTTGTTAAACAGTAAGGCTGGTGCAATCGTTTTAATTTTTCAACTTTAGATAAATGGTTTATAGAACTACCTACATTTTCTTCACATCTAGACATTTGTGAATTTGGTTGTTCTCGAAGAACGAAATAAATTTCATCAATTGTTTCGAAAGTTAATAAAATTTGCGCGGGTTCTATAATTATGTATAAATAAAAGAAGAAAGTAGTATACACTATTCTGTAAATTTTTTTGAAATTATAACAAAATTTTTGGGATAAATGGTACCTTCAAATGCAAGCTCAAAGAATACATTTCAGTGTCATATTTAAATGTGATGGGTTTTTGTATTACCCAAATACTCCGATAGCTGTCAACAGAAGAAACTATTATGTCTCCTTACCACCTATAAAAGGTTTCTTTATTCTATGAATTGTTTCATTATGTCCACCAAGTACTAATGTAACAGTAGATGCGTACTTATAAGAAACTAGATGGTTTTCCCATTTTTGTCACGTGGCTTTATGTAGCAACTTTACCTTTGTTTTATTCAAACTATCGGAAATATATTTCACTGCTTATATTTGGAGTTGTGATTACTAGTCTATTTATATCATGTGACAGGTTTTCATCTGAATCATTTCCATTTGAATAATTAATTGTTTGTACACTTTCGTACATATAAAGTTAATTTCGTCTTTGAGAATTGAAGAAAAAGGAAATGCAAAAGCTTTATCCGTATTTTTGCTTAGATATTTACCAAATAAAAGAATTTATAAAGGATATCACTGTGTGAAATAATTTTTAAACGAGAAGTTCAGTGTCTAATTTTAATGATGAATCAGCTTTATTTGATATAAATTCGAGTAAATACTTTTGTAAACTATAAAACAATGCGAATATGAATTTATATTTCTAGTTCGAAAAAAACAAATAAAATTCTATCAATATTTCGTGGAGTTCTAGTGATCAGTGGAGTCCGACAAGTTCTGTTGTGGTATAGTAATTCACTAAAGACAATGGTGGATGATGGAGCGATTTCGTCGATTGGTTCAACTTAGACATTTAAAACAGTTGAACGCCGGCTCAGTGGTCTACAGGTTAAGCATTTGTGAGCGAGACCGAATATTCTGGGTTCGAATCTCGCGAATGGGATCGTGGATGCGCACTGTCGAGGATCCTCATACTAGGACGAAACGGCCATCCAATGCTTCCAGGTTTTCAATGGTTTTGTAGCTTCAATTGATTCATGAATTCAACTACTAAATTACTAAGTAACTGTTTAACATTCTAATATTTTAACTGTTTTTATATACAGTTGCTCTTTAAGTGGTATTATTTTGACAATGAATGAATAAAGCTTGATGGTTCATTTAAGAAGTTATAAATTTCCAAAACATGACAAATTTTAATTATACAGCTACACATCTAAAAGCAATTAATAACAATCAAAGAAGAACTACTTATTGACTTTAAGATCATAAAAGAATGTTTGATTAAGACTAAACAATTGTGTTTAAACTATAGTTCATTTCATAATAAGCAATTTCATATTATCTAACTAATTCCAGTCTTTAATAATAATAATTTATAATTGAGTAATATTTAATTCAGATAAACTCATTTTTCATGTACCGTATTCGTTGTGAATTAAAACAAAAAAAAACAGAACATTTCTAGATTTATTGCATAATGTTAATATTATCATGTATGATGAATTAAATTTTCCTTTGGGAAAAGAAAATTCATGTTCCATCATAAAATGGTGATAGATTATTGTAACAATCATAATTGATAATACGATTTAATGAAAGTGAACTGACAATTCTAGAAAGATAATAAAATTCATTTGCTTGTAAACTGTTAAGAAAAAAGTGTATGCTTTAGAATTTACAAGAGAAAACAGAAGTGATTCTTTTTTTTGTGATACATTTCCATAGTCATTCCTATAAAAACATTTAAAGTAATTAGTCCCTTTGATAAGTTTCGATACTGTAATAATCAAGACGAACATTATCAGAACTATGTGATATATGAGCGTAATACATTTCGAACAATCTGATCACACATATACTTGTTAAGAGCATTTACTCGTCATTTACTCTTACAATTTGTCAATTCTTGCGTATTACCTATTATTCTTTACTGTTCTCCATTATTCTTTCCCGGGCTTTTGAGAAAAGACTTTGCTGTATTGCGGAGAGTGCTGAAGGCAGTTAGCAAGATGTGTGGTGAATCTTTCGAGGTCATAATTAATATGGTTCTGGTTAGACATCTAAAGTCATGCAAACTCCTGGCAGGTGTTATTTTATCAGATACTAGCCATCCCCTTCACTCTTATCTTTCTCCTTGTATATCTTCTGGTAGAATGAGACGTAATTACATTAAAATACATGCACGCAAGCAAAAGTATAAAAGTTCTATAATACCTTATCTAGCAAATATACTCTGTGACGAACAGGTTGTTAGAGTTAACCTAGTCAATAACCTGCACTCTTAACATGTCTCTAATTTGAAAAGTTGTACAGTTTTTTGGTTTTTTGTCTTTGTTACTGCTTTTTTTGCGCAAGTAACTTGTTGAAATACCGTGTGCTGAGAATTCTATATTGTACCAAAATATAATATTGAATAAAGCCATTAATAATAATAATAATAATAATAATAATAATAATAATAAAAGACCAACTAGACTAGGAATGAGGGGGTAGAGGAGACAAGGATGATAAAAAAATAATGTGAAAACAATTTGAAACCTTATTACTTTGGATAATAAACTAATATGTGTGATCAGATTGTTCGAAATGTATTGTGCTATAATATATCACATAACTCTGATAATCTTCGTCTTTTTATTACACTATTGAAATTTCTATTAAGGTATAATGATTTAAAGATTAAATCCATTGTGAAAGTTTTACAAGATGGGAAGAATTTTGAAAGCAACTTCTTTATAGATAGAATTTCATAGCGGAATAAAATATTTTTCTCACGAATAGTCTTTTTCTATAGGGAATAAACCATTATCTATCAAATTAGAAAAACACCATATTGTACCTGAAATTACGTTATAAGCCATATATATTACCAGTATTTCAATATTTCAAAGTAGTACAGTGTAAGATTATAACTTCTTACTTAATTGGAAATTAGCGAATCACGTTTCGCCGAATATTAACCTTAACACACCAACTAGAAATGTAGGCATAGAAACTAGATAAAACTGAGATTACTATTAATAACATTGATTAAATCTGTCAGATAATTGCATCCCTTAAAAAATACAACTAGAACTGTGAAATATACTCAAACATTGAAAGCAGACCAGTCAGTTAAAGTATAAATTATCTAAGAAAGAGATGCTTGCTAAAACTTCCTATTCAGTAAATAAAGATTCAATGTTACTTGACATTATACCTTAATGTTTAGTTGCTAACTTCAAGTTAACACATATATTCATTTAGTTTTTAAGTATTTGTCATCCAACCAGATAAATTGACTAAACTATGCACTTGGTGAAATAACTTAACATCATTATTTATATACGTAAAAAAAGGTAGCAGTTCATTCTGTAGTCTGTGTGTATGCAATTTCGTCTGATATATCATTTGAATATAGAGCGAGTGTTCGTTTTATCCTTAAATGCCATTCCGACGATTTATTTGTCTCTTGAATTTACGACAGACATAAAAAACTCAAATTATAAAATGCGCCCATTGGGTTGTTTCTTTAAATAAAGTAGCATATGTAAAATGTAGATTTATTTATTTATAGATCATTATCGTAGGACGCTAACTGTCTTAAAAAGTGAAACAAAATCTTCGTCAGCCATTAGAAACAAAAGTTTTGAACAAAGAATTTGAATTGTCAATGTTTATATTATCAATTGTGCTAATTAATAAATGGATATCTATTACTGGAGCTCACCTGCTATAAATGTTGGATTTTTATCAGTGACCAATGCACCTGTCCAATTGAAATTTCCATTCCAATCTGGCATATAAGCACGAAATATACGCAAGTAATCTAAAGTAAATGCAGATATATAAGTGAATCCATCAGCTGCATTAAGAACACTGGGTGGTTTATCAGGATATAGTGAATTGAAATGAGGATTTTCCCATTGAATTAATGGTACGGCCAGATTTTCAACCTAACAAAGAAAAATAGATCACGGTTTGAGAGTTCCGTTGACAACGGATTTGAAAGTATATGAACAACTCTATATTAGTTTTTGATTGACATCATGAACCGATTGTTGTTAGATCACCATTGAAAACCTGGAAGCACTGGACGGCCGGGTCGTTCTATTGTGTGACTGCTCAGCAGTGCGCATCAACGATCCTGTTTGCAGGACATTAATACCGTTTGATACCGGCTTCGCACACAAGGCCGAGGGCTCCGGGTTCGAGTCCTGCGAGCGGGATCATGGATGAGCACTACTGAGGAGTCATACAATAGAACGACCCGGTCGTCCAGTGCTCCCAGGTTTTCAATGGTGATCTAACATCAATCGGTTCATGATCTCGACCAAAAACTTAATAATCTCCACAACCCCAATCCTGATAACTCTATATTATTCTGAGCTGAGGTGAAAAGTTTGACAATCTGGTAAAATGCTTACGAAGACCCTATAGTCAGATATAAAGTTATTTATAACATCCTAGTTGTGTTTTCCAGAAAGTCTAAGTAAAGTATTCTTATGTCCGTATGCAGGGTTTTGACCAGACTATGTGTGTAACTGGCATAGTATGTAATATAATTATTGTTTAATTGCACAGACAAAAAAGAATCATTAAGAGTAGTTGTCATGATAAATACTGTTTTACAAATATTCAATAGTGACCTATTTATTACATAAATCTTAAGATATACATTTCCCTCGATTGTAAAATACTTGAAAACATTCTAACTCTAATGTCCCAATTGTTTTCATTTCATTGTGTAACCTGTAACATTTTATTAAGTTTTTTTAATAAATTTTGTTTAATCAGTAAATTATCTAAGTAGTATCAAATAAACAAAATAGAATCATTATAGATAGATTACATAATTTCACAAAGTTCAACAACAAATTCCAAACTAAGATTGAACTATAAGTAATCTGTAAGAATGAATTAATCTCATGAATTCACACTATAAACTATTAAATATAATTATTCATATATGTATAACGAAGTGTATATATTAAAGCCGAGTTAATGAATATATATATATATATATATATATATATATATATATATATATATATAAATTAAAATAATAATCGCCGGTAAGTATAACAAATCCACTTCATCGATATATGATTATTCCGTTGAGAGTAGATTTCAAATACTGCATACCCTATTCAAATGTCTTACGTTAGTAACAAATTTAAGTCTATTCTTCAGAATATTCATAGAACGTGACATGTTGATAACAAATGAATAAGAGTGAAATAATATTTGAATTTTCAATGTTAAATTAACATTTTAATCACGTTTCAAAAGTTTTTCTTTTCTTTCAATATTTTTGTTGTTGTTGTTGTTGTCGTTACTATTCTGCTGGTACAATAAATAAAACTTTCACAAACTTAGCAACATGAGTCAGTTTTTACTATTTTTCTAATCTACTATTTACATGAAATTCTTTTTGTTGTTGTTGGCTTTATTGGGTTTAGTTATATAGATTTGTTCGAATAATTTCTTTTGATTTGGAGGTATATACAAAATGTTTATCAAAGGAAATCATAATATACACATTATTCTCGTAATTAATAGTGAAAAAAGTTTTATTTAAAAGTTGATAAATGAATTTAATTCTTCTATACATGAAATATCTTTAGATTTATATTGACAAAAACTTTGCTCATTCAATTCATATCATAATCAGGGAGGGGTTTTCTGGATATTATAGTCATTTTAATAGTTAAATTCATGTGTCGATTAAAACCAGACCACCATGGAAAACCTGAAAGCACTGGACGGTCGTTATGACCTATTGTAGGACTCCTCGGCAGCGGGCATCCGCGATTCCGACACACGAGATTCGAACTCAGGACCTATCAGTTTAGCTTCAAATGACTCATGAATTCAACTATTAAAATTATTATAATATCCACAAAACGTCTCCCTGATTATAATCATCATATCCTCACTAGTGACGGTAACCAAGAGTTATTTCGTGGAGTTCTAGTGAGAAGCCAAGATCATTGAAGTTCAACAAGTTCTGTTGTGATATGGTAACTCACTAAAGACGATGGTGGATGGTGGAGCAATTTCGTCGATTGGTTCAACTTAGACATTTAAAACAGTTGAACGCCGACTCAGTGGTCTACAGGTTAAGCATTTGTGAGCGAGACCGAATATTCTGGGTTCGAATCTCGCGAATGGGGTCGTGGATGCGCACTGCTGAGGATCCTCATAATAGGATGAAACGGCCATCCAGTGCTTCCAGGTTTTCAATGGTTTTGCAGCTTCAATTGATTCATGAATTAAACTATTAAAATTTCATTCATTTTAATAAGCCACCTTTATAATATATTGATGAATTTAATCAATTATGTCTCTTGTTAGAATTTGTTGATATCACTAAATGATTTTTAGAAATCGTGAACAACTTTAGTTATTTGGTTGTGCAAAAAGTTTGTTAATAGAGAACGTAAATGTGCCGTTTTAATTAAACGTTTTGTTATGACGTACGATGCTTGAAATCTGGTACTGATACATAGTATGCTATGCGCTAATCCCCAACTGACTACTTCAGTGAGAACAAGTGCAATGGACTACCGAATAAAATGCACGAAAACTCACTCTTATATATACTAGCCTATTCTTAGGAAGTTGACCCCAATGAAATGCACTTGACCTACAGCTACTTCTGACTGACTCTCCATATCACTTTTCTTTGACTTAAAGAATTATCATTAAAATGATGACAGTTTAAGTATCAGCATCGTTTTTTTTAATTTTAGTTCAAAAGATTTGTTTCTAAAAATGTAAACTACACTAAAGTTCGTAAACTTATTTATTCTACTCAAAATTGCATTTTGTTTCTTCGGAAATCAAAATGCTCTTATTACAATTGTTGTTTTACTTGGTACTGTTAAACATATGTACATGATATATCAGTAAATAAAATAAATAGTTTTAATCCACTCATTCTAATGAGAATTACTGACAGATAATATAATTTATTAGAATCGAGGCTCTTCTAATTATCCATATGCCAAAAACAAAACAATAATTATATAAGCATCAGATGAACTTAATTCATAAATGATATTTCTAATTAGTACTAATAGTTTACGGAAGTATTTTCATACTTTTTATCCAACTTAATTGAAGTTTTATCATATTGATGTATCTTAATTAAACTATGAAATATGTAAGCAAAGATGAATAGTAGCTAGCAGTGGAACACAGGACGCATGTTTCGTCCTATTTGGGAGTCCTCAGCTGGATGTACCTGCTTCGAGTTGATATTCACTGTGGGACTCGAACCCAGTACCGTTCACTCCTAACGCCATTGTATTATCCAATTAACTACTGAGTGAATATCAACTCTCTGAGATGCAGGTACATCCAGCTGACGAGTCCCAAACAAGACGAAATGCACGTCCTGGATTCCACTGCTAGCCACTATCCATCATTGCTTATAAAGCTTGTGACCCTAGACAATATTAAGGCAGGATGCACGTATTCCAATAGGAGATTGATCAATTTCAGTCCTAATAATCAATGGGAAGATACCAATAAACAATACTAAGTGAACATAAAATATGTAATTGAGTGATATGCTGATTACTATGTAGATACAACTTTCTCAGTTGATACATTTATAGAAAAAGCCTCTAGGATTCTGTCGTAAATTTTATCTTTGTGATAGTCGAAATTATGTTGAAAGCCAACCATTGGCATATTTTATATTCCCCATTGTTAGCATCTATTAGTGTACTAGTTTTATTGATGTAAAACGAAATCATGACCTTAAAGTTCAGTAGCGTTTAACATCTAAGTATAAGTCTTAACAATTTGAGACAATTTCTTGAGATATGTTTTAATATAACTAAGCTGGCATCTGGTATTTTCCACCATTGTTTTTTTTAAATCGTTATATTTAGTACGCTAAGGTAAGCAACACCATCGTTAGGAAGATTTTATCTTTAGTCATCAACAAAAAGTGATTATAAATTACATTAGTTGTAGAATAGTGTTTGAAACGCGACTGGTACAGAACTTTAGTAATTTAAAGCAATAAATATCAATTTAATGTATCTGTATGAGTTGGTTGTTCAGTAGTCTAAATGATTAAATGAATAACCTCAGTACATAAAGTACATTTCCTCTTTTGAAATCAAGTACTTTGTGAAGAGATGCCACTGAGCATGTAACTTATTTAGCTACTCATCATATTTGTAAAAATCATTGACCAAAAGAAATAAGAATCTATACTATCAATTAAAAGAAATTTATATCTTTTATTAACTCTTGAGTATAATTGAATGGGTTTTTAAGTTCGATTTCAATTATTCCATATGTGTTCATAAAACTCTGAAAATAAGTGTTATCCCTCAATGTTTACCATTACAAAATTTCACCCTGTTTAACGAGTAATCTTCATAAAATAAAGAAAGAAAGAACATCGATTTATCTTGCTCATAAACTATCGCCTCAATTATTCCATTAATAAAGTAAATATGTCAGAGTGCAAAATATTGATCCGTGGAACGTCACATGTCAATTTATTTACCAATCTTATTCAGTTTTATATTAGATAGAAAAAGAAATACCAATAACGTAAAATCATATGACTAGCTCAAGACATAATGTATGATTGTACTTAGATGTTCACCACTTATTGTAATACAACTGAGGTAAACTGACTATGTGAAATAGGTCAACTAGAAACCTCTAAATAATTCTATAGAAGCATGTGTTAAAATCAGATAAATTCATGGACATTATTAGGAATAACAATTAAATGTTTCACAGATTGAAATCATGAGTCAATTGAAGCTAGACCACCATGGAAAAACTGGAAGCACTGGATGGCCGTTTCGTCCTAGTATGGGACTCCTCAGCAGTGCGCATCCAGGTTTTCCATGGTGGTCTAGCTTCAATTGACTCATGATTTCAATTTGTGAAATTTTTAAAATCTCCACAAACCCCTTCTGATAATTAAATACTTCCAAATTCAATGTTTTATCATCAATATGAACAGTTATTTATTACAACAGTGTTATATGTCATTATGAGTACATGACATGATAAAATATTTAAGAAATTTATAACAAACGGCTTGGTTGAATTATTTTCGTCTAGTGTGCATGATCTCAATTTCTAAGACAAAAAATTACAATATATCAATGTTATTTACTTAGCAACTGTTCGAGGATCTACTGTATTTTTGGTGAACTATGTTTTAGTGACAAAAGTACCAGATGTGAGTTTGAAAACGAAATATGTTTTTGGTCAGTTGGCGTATTAAATCATAATAGTTTCTTCCTACAATTGTCGGACTTTTCCTTGACATTTGAAATCATATGATAAACATATTTTCATTTTTATTTGGACAATCTTTTTAGAATTTTTTTAATAGTTAAAATCGTTGTAAGCAATAAATGACATGTCTACTGAATGATGGTATATGTTAATCTAAGTTATTTGATATTGTCAGATAAATATTCATGAAATTCAAGAATTCAAACATAAATCTTTATGTTACAAAGAGTGAACAGTTTTTCTGTTGCATACTATAAGTAGTCACTAGGACTTCATTCATATTTATCACTTATTAATCAAATGTTATAGGGAAAACAGTGATACTTCCCAAGCTTATAAAATCCAACCACTTTATAATAGTTCGAACTAACAAAACGTACCTAAGACTGTTACCAACGTGTTATGTTAGATTATAATTATCATGTGTCCACACTTATTTAGAAAACGTTTTGTCAATATTATTTAGTATTACAACCACAAGGTAGGGATGACTAGATTATTTCTAATTTTAGAAAGTAACTAATCTGAAGTTACCGTCAGATCCACACATTTTCTAATCTGTATTTCAATTAAAAGTTAGAAAGAGCGTTTTCAATGTCTCAGTAGAAAGCTCTTAATTACAAAATTGTTGAAGAATGGTTATTCACTGAAATTTGTAAGCTGATGGATAAGCTGTAGAGGCTAATTCACTCTATATCTGACTACAGTAAATAGTATCCCGTTAACTGAGTATTTATTGCAGACTAAATCTCCTAGTCGAATTATGGATTTACTCGAGATTATTCAAAAGCCTGAACAACAGTTATAGGGATAGTTTATTGTTAAAGATTGGTAAAATCCGCAAGTGTATAGGAAGAAGGCACACAGTGAAACCAAGAGTGTGTACGTGAGTGTTAAAAATCCATATATATTTATGAGTGCTAATCAAGTATGGACAAATTATTATCTGTGTGTTACAACCGATGGGAGAAAAGATTAAAAATTGATGTGCAGAAATGTGCTCAATCATATTCACACAGAAATTTACATGGTGGATTAAATGTATAAATTACAGAGAGCAGATAAATAATACAGTAGTTGAATGGGCTTACTACAAAGCAGCCATATGACGAAACCTATTACGATTCTCGGGCCGAAAATATGTTAACTTCATTTTACTTTTCAGTGGTGATTCAAGTAGTCTTATATTCAAACGAAAACAAATTAGCGATCACAAGTACTTTTCACTCAATCCAATTAATCATAATTGAATAGTCAAGATCAATGCTTCAATGAAAATCCAGACCGATTGTAATGATTGTACCTCATCATACTACGCACATCAACTTGTATGTGTATGGACACACTCATGAATAAAAGCAACAGAGATCTGCATCTAAGGATTGATGAACAAATACTTTAGTTGCTAAAAATAAGAGCATAGGATAAAAATTGGTTGCAATGGGTGATACAGTCGACATTAGATCAGTCTTTGCAGTCTCGGATAATTGTTCACAGACGTATTGATTTAATATTAGGCAATTATATGACTTTCAGATTTCTATTAGCTGACAAATGAAAATATGAAATAAATAGGCGATACAGCCAAGTCAACTAAATCACTTCAAGTAAATCAAAAATATATTTTGATATTTGTATACTTACAGATGAAAACTATGGAATGTTTCGAATAGATTTACAATTCAGAGCATCAAATTATGGAGAAACGTAACTTCTTATGCGATAAAGTCTCAAAGCCTGGGTAACTGTTATGAGATGTGTCAAGTGACATCTTACATTGATTTGTGAATCAAATGATTAGTTGAGACAGATGATTGAAAAAAGTTGTCGAAATGGTAAGAATATGATTCATATAAGTAAAACAATACTTAAAACACTGTTTCATTTAATCACTGCTACTCTAAACAAAAATCCATTTCGGGGGTTAATTAACTACAGAGAGATACTGCTTACCGTCGGGACCATGCAACCACTTTCTGCAAGTAGATTAGGACGATTTTCGTGAGAATGATGGGTCACATAGCAGATCCATATCATACGTTCATCAGGCATTTTAGCAAGTAAACTGATTTCCTTCATTGAGTGACATGACCACTACAAATTACAAATGATAAAATGAAACGAATTAAGATAAAAACTAGACATTTTTGAGGAAACTTTAATAGACATTATGTAGATACTAGTAGAACTTCGTTTTCTTTGGCAGTCAGATAAAAAGCAGCAGACTAAAAACCAATTAGGGGATCAGTGGAAAAAAGTCCTTAGGTGAGTCAAATAAAACTAGCATCTGGCAAGGAGGTATCAGTCTTGTAAACCATAAAAATTTCAACTTGTACAGTTACCACAAAATGATTGTACATGTTGTTTAACTGTATGACCTTGAACACACAATCTTCCGTTGTGTAACACGTCGTTAACTGCTCGTAAATACACTACTATACACACATCTTTTGTTCTCCGTTGATTGTGGTTACGTTAACTGAATTCTGAAACATCTATCATCTACATTTATAGACAACGACGACATTTCCATTATATTCTACGCTTGACTATATTACTGGAATCATAACAACCTCACTGGGATTATTAATTACTAGTAATTGTGGATTCTGGAACCAAACGCAACGGAACATGCACCAACTTGCTGATTTAAGTAACGTCCTTTAACTTTTGTTAGTGTTTATAACTTATAATTTGTATACTATTATATTAATGTTTGAACGTTATAACTTTATTGTTAATTTTGAGTTATTATAAATTTTGGTCCACCACAGTCCGTTGAATGTACGTTATAAAAAATTAATAATCCATTCAAAATACATTCTTAACAAAAAATAAATTAAAGAAACTATCCGTTCGTCTACAAGGTGATACCTTCTAAAATTGTATCTGGTAAAGGAACTAGAATTCATGAAAAGAAATAACTTCATCTAATAGTTTAAATATTGAAATGTATATTTAATTCTAATCAAGATATAAGTTATTTATTAAAATGGTAAAGCTTTAAATAAAAATAAGGAAAACAATTAATATATTTATTACTAAGCTAACAACATATAAAATTTGAATTTAGGTCACTTCATCAAATTGTATTTAGTTCAATTTGACATTAATGACCAAAAAGAAGAAAAAACAAAACTAAAAAACTTGAAAACCAGAGAAAAAACTTGTTTAAATTACTTTAGAATTGTACATTTTAAAAGTATATGATCGACTGGATAATTTTATATATGTTCAAGAATGATAAACCATATATTGTAGTCGATTTATACAATGAACGTGTAGTGAAGGAGAACACAATTGAGAATAATTGAATGTATTTGAACACGAAATTACAGTAAATACTTCATTTGCAAAATATCAGTCAACGATTTCAAACTTCATTGTTCCTTTGTTGCCATAGCAATCATTCTCTGTTCTCGTTCTTTTTCCTTCAATACCTTTAGTCTTCTGCTTCCAAGTATTTCACATACTACAACTTATATCGGTCGACATCAGTAGTACACACCACAAAAAGACCCAAATAATTCACATTTCATAAACTCAATATAAAAAATCCAGCAACATGTTTATGATAAAATTAAAACATTTGAAAACTCATTCAGTGTTGTTTAGACGTTTTTTTACACAGTTATTTCATGAGTATATTACCGATATATGAAGAGGTATTACCTTTCATCAACACACATGTTGATAAAATGAAATTTTCCGGAAATTGTGTTTGATAGTTTGACAATACTTATAATTTTTTGTTGTTGAAATAATAGCATGATAATTGATAGCAAATGTGGCAATATTTTTTTGATCTTAGGAGTCTCGCAATTCAGGTTACTTGAGGACATGTTTTTGTATTTATCTTCTTATCAGAGATCCAGTATATTGAGCCTCAGCATTCTTTTACATGTGTAAAAATTGGTTAATACATATGAAAAGATATGGTTTGCAACAACTTGTCAACAAATATTGTTAAAACATTGAGTCAGTCAGATATAATCAACCTAAGGCCTGGTACAGCTGTATGTTGGCCCAAGTTGCCATATCAAATTAAAATGCCGAAATGAAGAAAACAAGAATAATGAAGGAAACGAAATAATTTGGTAGCAATAATAGTGACTAAGCTAAATGTGTGGAGAATATAGTATGGAAAGAGAGAAAAAAAGCACATTATCTAATACCAAACGTATGATTAAATTTATTCATTTGAGAATGTTATCTTAATGTAAGTCGCAACGTTCCTGGGTTAACATTTATTTTGCATAAGTATGTGGGGAAATAATTTACCTGAAACTTTCCATTGCTTTGTTGATAAACGTTCAAATAGAGATAGCGTTCATTGTTCAGTTTAATTGCAGCTAATCACTATGATTTCCTAAATTTTAGACACTAGACATCTCTTTTTTTGTGCTAAGATACTCGTTTAAATAAAACAAAATTGGTAATCGATTATTTAAGTTATTTGTATTGGTTAAATACATCTTTTAGTTATTTTGTAACTCTTAGTACCAATAAAGTGCAAAACTCCATTTCTACTTACTATTACATCGTCTGAAAACTATTTAACCGAATATTTTATATTTTATTCTTCTATTGGTCAAGAATTCACTAATTAATTGCATTATAAGTGCAGAAATAATTCTTCAGGTTTCTTGGATATTTCGGTGATTTTAATATGAAGAAACAGCTTCTGAACATCTGAAACTCTAGAACTCTTCAGTTGTATAATTATAAAATTATTATCAGATGGGGTATTTTGTGGATACTATAGAAATTTTAATAATTGAGATCATGAATCTGTTGTGAGATAATAATTCACTGAAGACATTCGTGAATGTGTCGCTCAATTTCGTGGATTAGTTGAAGTTAGACATTAACACCATGTGATGCCGGCTCAGTGATCTAGTGGTTAAACATTCGTGTGCAAAACCAATAAATCCTGAGTTTAAATCCCGCGAGGCGGGATCGTGGATGTGCACTGCTGAAGAGTTCCATAATAGAACGAAACAGCCCTCCAGTGCTCTCAGATCTTCCATGATGATCTAGTTTCAATTGACTCATGATCTCAACTAATAAAATTATAAAATTGTTATAAACATTTATAGAAGCTAACACTAACAAACATTGACTCAATTTTATTATAATCTGACTGCTGTAAATTCGTTAATCTAGTGGAAAATCTAAGCTGTAAAACTTGTAAAAGATATTGAGATTAATGAGAAGAATTAAATATACATCATATTAGACAAATATAAAATAGATGTTCAATGCTTGATTTTGATTTATATCTTTATTATAATTACTGACCAGTGAACAGTATTTCTTAAAACCAGTTCACCGATTTATGTCTATATGGTTTTTCATTGTTCTATTAAATAAAATAAATTGAACTAAATAATACAGACGTTACAACCTAATAAAACTACATACAATTAATAAGGTTATTAGATTAACACTTGTCTATCACAATGTGTTTTTTTTTCTCTCTCTTTAAATTGGACACAAATTTATTATGGTAATTCCCTGTTATTCTCTTTTTTGTTATTGTTGTTGTTGTTGCTTGTTTCGAATACATTTAATTTTCACTTTCAGCAATAATTTAGTTATTCTTGTTGTTTAAAAAAAAATTAACTAAAGATAGAACTAATGTAATGTAATGTTTATTAAAAAACATGCTATCTCAATAGACTGTTAGTAAAAAGTTCTTCTGGTGAATATAAATAATCTGTTTGCTAACGTTTATGAAACTATGAAATAAGAATAAACTTGGATCAGATTGCCAGGCGAAATGTTGGATTCACTTCAAATTCTTTCGCTGAGATTTTACAAATAAATTCGTCTTCTTTAATGAATAAACGATAAGTTTACAGATTATCTTATTTAAGATTTGAGAAAGTGAAAAATACATTTTTTTAAAAAATACTGGAACTATTCAGAATAAATAATTCAACAATAGATAGTTGTTGTGCCATATTCCTCAATATGTTAAAAGTTTGGTTCTACAAGGGTGAAAGGAAAGCACTTAGGAGTTCTATACTTGAACATCTAATCGACTGTAATCATTCTACGGATCAATAGTTTCATTTCAAGGTTGTTTATATGATTCGTTCAAATCTATCTAGATTTCTTCGTATCCAACTCCTAAAAATAGATGAAGCTCTTACCATCCATGAACTCAAACCAGAACTATGCGTACAAAAGTATGTTTTATCGTTATCGTTACCTTGGCCTTAATAATAATAATAATAATAATAATAATAATAATAATAATATTATTATTATTATTATTATTATTACTGCATTCCCCTTTACTTATGTCTTATATTCTCATTATTTTATTCATAAATACTCATTCTAGATGTTATAAACTTGGGCTAGACTCTTTATGGAAGAGAAAACTACACCTAATCTTTTTCTTCAAACTACTTAATAAACTATCCTTTACATCCAGCCACGTGATTCAATATGCAGATACTTCTCATTATTACATCCGTAATTCCTTGGCACTAGTGAAATAAACTTATTCTAAATCATCTCTTTATATGAATTACTTCACCTGTAATTTTTCTAGATTCTGAAATAACCTACCACAATCTATCCGTACGATAAAATCACTCCCATTATTTGTTCACTGCATCGATGCATTGAATGTTTCAGCACCTGTAAGTGTATCTCATTCCAAAAGTGGTATTATAGGAACTTTAAATGTTTAGCCATCTTTATTAGTGCATTCCCTAAGTAAAACCAACTACTTGTTGTCACTTTATGTTAACACCGTCCCCAGCATGTTTAACTAATTTGAATAACATCAACAGTATGTCACTGAGTTACATGACACACGCATTTAGGTAGACCTGATTCATATATTTCGGTAATTACTGCTTTGTTGTTCCGTGCTCTCTGTTTTCGTTTTAATTTCTCTAGTTGTAGATAATTATCATTAATTCGATCTGGCACACGAAATAACCTTAATTACTCCGTTCATAAATCAACAGGCTGTCTATTTAAGAAATATTAAAAATTCCCGGCTGATGCATTGGATCGCTGTAATACATGTACTACCTAAACAATTACTGAACTAGTATACTTAAAACTTTCTTCTATCACATGTTTGCTCCGTACATCTAATGTTACTATTTATATCAAATTGATCATGCCTGTAAACTGGCGTGAATTCTGTAATTATTATTTTCAGAATGTATAAATTATTATTATTATTATTGTCATATCAATTTATTTATTTTCACACCTCTATGACATTTTAGTCATTTTATTACATTCACCAAATCTATTGTTATTATTCGTGTTACGTAATCTAGTATTATAATCTTTCTATTACGTTACCTTGGTTATTCGTGTTCACATTTTCTCACGGAATTAGTTGTTTATCAGTTTCTTTTTGGTTTTGTATGTAAAAAAGAATAACTTGTAAAGTATTGTATAGCTTTTATTTCTAATGCAAAAACATAAAAACCCTTCATAGGATAACCTAATTTATTTGTAAACATTTCGGATTGATTACTAGCTTGATTGAGGTTAAATTGATATGGTTTAAAAACTATCATGGTCTATCAAAAGTAAACATTGTCTAGTTATTACGTCTGAACAACGGAAGCTTGTATTTCATACTTCTTATTCTGTAACTACTGTAGGACCATTAAACAAAGCATAATTTATTATTCAGTGATAGGTCTGAAGATTTACTTCAAACGGCCTCCGAATGCTGGCAATCAGAGGGTGCTAATGAATTAGAAGCAATATGATAACCTTCAGAAGCGTTCTCAGCATACCGAAGTTCAGTGACACAATCAGTCAGGACATGCCAATGAGTGACCTCCAAAGATGTTTTGAGCTATGAATAAAGCAAAACATAGGAAAGTTCAACTGGGCTAAATATCAAACAAACTCTAACAGATGGCCATGTGGTCTATCGGCCGGTGACTACCGATCAACCCGACCAAGTAGACCTAAGTGAGAACCTCTAACTTCCTGAACACTGGACATTCTGAAATACAAACTATCTTCTCTCTTCTGTTCTGTGACGGTGAAGAACTTCTAATTTAGGAACTGGCTGGAATGTTTGTAAAGATTCAGGATACGGAAAGTGTCCCATATTCCTGGAATACTAGGACAGTCATTCCCAAATTTCAAAACAGAGTAAGCAGGTTATGTGATCGTTATTAAGATATAACACTGTGTTCTACTGTTTAATAATCAAAAGTCTCTATCATACTTCGTCGAACTAGTGGAACTCGTCAAGAGTAGGTTGGGTCTGTTTTGGGCATCCTCAACAGCCTTTGATTTGCATGTCCAGACTATACCTTGAGAATGTCTATTTATTAGGGCGTAGATGAGAAGTTTATCAACACCTCAATAGTTCTGTACACAAATGTTGCAGGTAGAGAGAAGAAATACAGCTATCTTTTTATTGTTCTAACTTTTTTTTAACCATTCACTTTCCATTTCAATACCAAAAACATTTTTTACACAGCTTTAAATGAACTGAGTACGTATGGTGACCAGTAAAAGATAATTCGAAAAACAATACCCAGGCTGCCATTGTATCACATAATCATTGGGCGATTTGTGTACGTAAGTATGAAATATACTGTACACAAGCACAGTGAAAATCTTCCTTCCCAAGAATGACAAGAATCTGCACTTATTGTTTGCAGTAAGCCCTTGAAAATAGTTTAATTGTTCGTTTATCTAGATAGATATGTGAAAAATGGTGATGAAGTGGTAAAGTGAGACCAGTCTACGCTGCGTGAAATCATGAATAGTCTGTTGATCACGTCAATCTACGACGGAGAGGTCAGTTCATGACACTAATTCGTTGAGTCGAACTGGTATATGTAAGTCCGTCCCTAACGTCAATTAGGGTTCTAGGGGTAGTGCAACTTAATAACTTCAGATATTATCTGACACAAAAGTAATAGAAAAGTGAACAAACTTAGCATTCGTTAGATTTTTAACATCTTATAAAATAATGTTACTATACATATATTTATTGATCGTAAAAACCGTCTCCATAAACTGATTTTGAACCATAAATGATGTGTAGCAATATTTATAATGAAATAATAATGTTATATTCAAGTTCAATAAAGTGATCAGTATCTACACTGGTAACCAAAATAGATATGATATAAAACTCACAGAATCGTTGCATTCTGGCATAGACTTTAATGACGTCGGTAGTGTATATTTATCATGTTGTTCGAATGTCGTCATGTCTAACTTTAACAGAGTTCCTCTAAATTAAAATAGAAAAAAAGGGATTTTAAAGAAAAAGGCTTTGATTGAACAGTCTTATATGATATCTTATTAAACGAGGATTCTACTGCACACTAACTTCTCTAAACTCATCATACTCTCTGTCGGAACCACGAATTGTATGCATTTACTAAAGGCAAGATTTCACTATAAAGAGTTCTAAACAACTTCTTGCGAATATTTATATAGTCATATTATGACGTTTTTGTACATAAACACTCACTCATTTGAATACAAAAACAACCAGATGTCTAACTTCAACTAACCCATGAAATTGGGCGACACATCTACTATTGTCATCAGTGAGTTACTATCTCACAACTGACTTGGTTGAACTCCACTGGTCACTGCTTCTCACTAGAACTCCAGGTTATACATCTTGAAGCCAGTTACTAGTGAGCATATGTTGATTAGTATCAGAAGAGGCGTTGTGGAGATTTTAGTAATTTCAATAGTTGGACTTATTACATCATTGAGTTTTATTTCAACTGTCTTCTAAATTAGTAATTTTAATTTATCAACTGAGCTCTACTCATTTTATTCCTATCAGAGTTTACTCGTCATGTAATCACTTGTTTCTGGCTGTTTGAACTGTTGTCACAATCATTGTTGTAGGATATTCTTCCACATAAGGTATATATTTACAATATTCAGTCAGTATTGATTATGGAGATTTCATTAAAATCGCAAACCAATTTAGACAACAACTGAAAACTAATAAACCGTTCCGTCCTAGTATGGGACTCCTCGAACTCGTGATCAGGAACGGGACCGTTAGTGCAGCGTGCGAGTTCTTAACCTGTGGATCACTCAGCCGAGATCTAATGATGTATAATTTGTAGGTATCATTACCAAGGTTTGATTTGATAATTTCGAATAAATTGAGCATTGGGTTGATTGTTGTAAATAAAAATAATATATTTGTAATATCCCAATGAGTAGAAAATTAGATTTTTTGACGTTTCGTGACTTAGTGTATGCCACTTCTTCAGAGAATAAATAACCAAATTAAAATTAGTCCAAGTTTAAATAGTACAACGGAACAATGGAAGAGTAATATTGGATCAATCAAAAACAGGTCTGAACAAGTTGATGTCATGTCATTTCTGTCAAGGTGATTCATAAGTGATATGTATATAAATTTGTGTGTGTATGTATGTGTGCATTGTTTAAGAATGAAAACTTGTGTGACCTTCATGGTAAGAAAGGATAGAGTTTATATTTGTAATATGATAGTGTGAAATTGTAGATACGATCAGACTGAATGGTTAGGATAGATGGTCCAAGTAGGATGTATGGTAAGGCCTTCTTTTCTATTGAGAGAAGTGGGATTAAGCATTACATGGAACGCCTCAGCTATCCTCCTTTCTTTGTAGTTGGGAAAGCCTTTTTCCAATATTTTGATATTTTTAAAATCGATTTGGTGGTTGTTGAAAATGGCATGAACTGCTATTGCCGATTTAATTTGAAGTTGGTTCAATTCTACAGGATTGTTAGGAGGCTTCTTTGTGTACCTAATATGTTCTTTGGCTGTAGTCAAGTTTTCGCGGGATGACTCTCCAATATAATAGGCATCACAATCGATACAACCTAATTTGTAGACGCAGTTCTGTGTGGACATGAAAGGGATTTTTTCTTTCAGGCGAACTAAAGTATTACGTAGTGTGTTCGTTGTTTTGTAATATACTTTAATTCTGTGATGTTTTAAGATTCTTTGGATTTCTTCTGTTGTGCCATTAATATAGAAAAGAAGGCCTTACCATACATCCTACTTGGACCATCTATCCTAACCATTCAGTCTGATCGTATTTACAATTTCACACTATCATATTACAAATTTAAACTCTATCCTTTCTTACCATGAAGGTCACACAAGTTTTCATTCTTAAACAATGCACACATACATACACACACAAATTTATATACATATCACTTATGAATCACCTTGACAGAAATGACATGACATCAACTTGTTCAGACCTGTTTTTGATTGATCCAATATTACTCTTCCATTGTTCCGTTGTACTATTTAAACTTGGACTAATTTTAATTTGGTTATTTATTCTCTGAAGAAGTGGCATACACTAAGTCACGAAACGTCAGAAAATCTAATTTTCTACTCATTGGGATATTACAAATATATTATTTTTCATTTACAATGATGTATAAGCCTTTTTTATTTTTTCTATACAACAAATCACTCATTAGCTCGTGCCTATTCTCATGCATTTAGTTATTGATGAAAATCAAATTATGTTGATATACTTTTCAATAACTTTATTAGGCCATGTAACATGCTATTATGATTTTTTTATCTTAGATTTTAGATTTCCGAATAGGACATGCATTAGGTTGTACTAGGTTTACATATCAGCTGATAACGAGGTGCGATCATAATGTTAATAGACTTGGGATTCGTCTAGAATTCCTTGTGTCTGAATCACTTTTACAGTCAGAGATGTCACCGAAATGCATAATATAATCTACTTACATGGCTTTCTCAAATGCTCTACTATTTAGAACATATAATGATCACTGAATAAGCTACAGACTGCTCTTACTCATGCTAATCTAGATTGTCACTAGATCTGTGACGATTTCACAGCGATGTAAAATATGATATATTAAGATGCTCCAATATAGATTATTTTGCACATTAAATCGGCAAACATGAGGGAATTGTAGTCATTCAAATATTACATAACATAGCTCCGACCATTTTAGTTGGAAAAAGAAATAACAGACGTCAACTCATAGAAGTTTTCACATTAATCGATACATTTAATGGTTACTATCAATAGTACTATTAACAACATTCTTCTCTAGTACTGTAGGGCCTGAAAGGTGTGTAATATTTTTCCTCCAAGTCTACCGACCACATTCTACTATGATTTGACAATCTACTGCAATCATATATAGTTGAATGAAAATACCGTGTGATTTGTTATCACCTTTAATCAGTATTATATTTGGTAATTACAAAATAATCTCAGATATAAAAACTCCATGTAAATATTACTTGTATATAGCAATTAGACACATAACAATATTTGTTTTCCAGTAACCTTCATCTTCATCTTTGATTACCTAGTAGTTATCTAGAAAGTAATTTATTATCATATTATCCTAATTAAGTATCTAGTCATTCATTCATCCCGTTAGTAAATGATCAAAATTTGTTTCTCTTAACTACCGAGATAAGTTTCGGGACATCATTCTTTTAACAAATTATTCACTCAACTATTGTAGACACCAGTCGAATAGAATATTAGTTACATATAAACTATTTTCTAATTTTGTTATCAAAAAACAACCTATTTACTATACTTCACTTTGATTATCTTATGATCTAAAGCAATTAGTCTCTTTTATAAATTTCGATAGAACAATAAGATGGAGTTGATATGAAAAATATGATGTATTTGCGCAATACATTTCAAACAATGTGGTCAAACACTTACTTGTCAGGGTATTTTATATAAAAATTAATGAAGGCCAATTAAATGAAAGTTCAAGTAAAAAGTAACAAAGTGGAGAGAAACAATTGTGCATCGTATAAAAAGAAATAAGAAATTGTCGCGTTATCCTAGGCCATAGAATGACTTAAGGATTACCAGGGTAAATCCAAGGTTACGACAAATTGTTTTTGTACACATAAGGGATAGGGGTTAAATTTACGAATAGCTAAGCCTTTAATAAACTTGAGAATTCATCCTTGACCATTTTTCTATACAACCTTCTAAAAACTGTATTAATGTCAATTTTGTGCCCTGTTTCAAATAATAATTGCAAAATAATCTCAGATATAAAAATTCCGTGTAAATATTACATGGTCATAGCAATTAGACACATAACAATGTTCGTTTTCCAATAACCTTCATTTTCATTCTTGACTAGTTAGTGATTATGATCCATTTATAGAAAAAGTGACATTCAGTAAAACAAATCAAATTTGATTATGTTTTTTTTTAAAATTTTATTACCTAATGCATATATAAGCCACAAAAACTTGTTTATGTTTTTATTAATAAATAGTTATGTCTATTCTAAATAATTCATTGCTGAAAACTGAAATGTTTTGGATAGTCAAACTTGAAAGAAACTGATACAGACACATGATATCAAATTCGTTTTAATTTTTGTTTGAAAAACAAAAACAAACAATAAAAATATTTAGTGCTAACAGATGACTTTATGATGTTTTTAAGTCTGAGTTTAATTTTTCAATAAATAGTTATAGTCCGTAAGGGTTTGTGGAGATTTTAGAAATTTCAATGATTGAAATCATGGTTCAATTGAAGCTAGACCACCATGGAAAACCTGGAAGCATTGGACGGCCGTTTCGTCCTAGTATGGGACTCCTCAGCAGCATGCATCCACGATCCCGCACCCCGCGGGACTCGAACCCAGGACCTATCAGTCTCGCGTGCGAGCGCTTAACCACTAGACCACTGAGCCGGCCGGTTATAGTTATAGTTTGAAGCAAAGAACCTTTTACTGATTATTATCATCGTTATTATTACTATCATTATTATTATTATTATTATTATTATTATTATTATTATTATTATTATTATTATTATTATTATTATGTAAGTACATAGTGTTGGCTGCTGTATTCATCTAGGCGATATAACCATTATAATATTGAATACAATAATAGCATTATCATGAGTGTTAGGTTTTTTCATTACTCAGTTTGTATACATAGATTGTAAGAACCTAGATATATACTGAATAATATATGTTTCTGTAAGCAAAAGTAAAAATCATGAGAACTATATTTGAATAATTTGATGTTAGAGTAATGAGCTTCATATTAATTTTATATTGAATTCATTTATAAAAACATTGATAATTTGAATGAGTTAGCTGGTTTTAAACTATTGTTTAAGTTTACATCTATGAAGTATAGATTTATAAATTTGTATTGCAGTAACTATGAACGGAGTAATAAAAATAGTTGGTTATTCGTTCAATCATTGGCAGTTCAAAACTTGTCATTGAGAATAAAATCTAGGTGAAGTTGGAAATGATTCTGGTAGTAATTTGAAAGAACATCAATACATGAGGAAATATCTAATCGATACAACTTGCTTTCCAACTGATAATTAAATGTAAATACTATTTTATTTTAAATTGTATTTAGATAGGTATCAGTCCAGACATTTAATGTAATGGTATAACAAGAAATATATATACGTTTAACGCTCTAGCTTAGAAAGAAACGGGTCTCACTATCTTTAACATGTATTCCCCGCAAACATTAACATTGTTGGGTTACAGGCCCCGATGAATGTCATGTAATATTTAGGCATTATGTTAACAAAGCTCTTAAGATAATTAACGATATACATCTACATTACAGAACTTGATATAACTTCCTAATTGTATGACTTACAATATCTAAGTTTTATTTCTGTGAGAAACGACAGTTATGAAAATTATTAAATGCAAGATTTGGTCATTCTTGTTACAACACTAAAAAAGTGTTAATCATGCTGTTAAATGTACAATCGGTTCTCGTATATTTTACCATGAAAATAACCTTGAAACTCAAATCTCTAGAATTCTGATGGTTGATTTTAATTCATATCATCATTCAGAGTTTCCCTATTTATATCGAATTTATAGCCAAGACTAAACAGTATTCATCATCTTTCTTAAGAAGAAGAAGATGTAAGACGATCATCATTATTACATATGCCATTTACTTGATCAATACATTAATACATATTAAACGAAAAAGCGCCAAATGTCTTATGTTACTTCATTGCGTTGGAAATAATATTTCTGAAATTGAATAGGCTTCTAAAACTCTCTTGATGAAGCCTAAATAATTTTACTATATAACAAATTATGATATATAAGATTGTAATATTGCTGTGTCGTACTCAATTTACTTAGTTATTTTTGAATGTTGATGCGCTAAGCGAAAGTACCTCTATGTCCCTCAGTAGGTGGGCCAAGATAACCACCTAAAGACACTTTTCACAGCATGCCTTTTTGACACAAGTTTAGTTGTAAAAAAATTATTAAATAAAATAAATAAATTGACTAGGCCATACAGTTATGTAGATAAAGAAAATAAACTATAAAGAAACAGATTTAAGTTACCTGACATTCATATTTTATTTTGTATCATATTTCAGTATATTTTTCTTTAATATAGAAGAGATTTGACTAAAGTACCTAGCAATGCATAATACTTGAATAATCATGTTTAAAATTTATCCTCATAACACCTCATAAACACAAAACTATTATTTCATTGAAACTATAGGCTGATCAATGTCAGATCACCATTGAAAACCTAGAAGCACTAGACAACCGTCTCTTCCCAGATTTTCAATGATAGTTTAACATTGATCAGTTCATGACTTCAACGAAAATCAACAATCTCCACAACCTTTTACTGTTAAAACTACTAGATTGGTCATTTTTTAGTTCAAAGTTTAAATGAATATATTATTACAGTGAAACCAAAATAATTTAGACAATGATTATATACTTTACGACTTATTTTAGAAATATGGTTAAATTTTATTTTCCCTAAGAAATCTTCCCTTTACAATCCACATTTTGCCACTTTGTTATTATAAATCGTTTCGCCCAATAAGTATTACAGTAAATCCTTTAGTTTTAATAGTAGTATAACTTCAGACTTTTCAAGATGATATGTGATGTTTATTTAATGATCAAGATACAAATGAACTGTTTATGTCTACCTTATTTAACAATAAACATTATACTCATAGAAATTAGTTTCTTTTATATATCAATACGCTAGTAAAAATGGTCATAGGATAGCAAGTTTAGCAATAAAATTACGTAGACAGCTGTTAATATTAGTATTAATAATATTAATTTTAATTCCTTATCCATTTACATACCACAATGTCGTAGTTTATAGTAAACTCAACGATAAATAACTTCGCTTGAATGGTTATAGTAAATGCATTGTATATCAACTTATTTCTAAAATCTACGAAAACCCAGTTTCACTAATGGATTAGTTGTTTGCTTTTCAAAGTGCGTTTTACAAACTCAGTATACCTGCTAGTTACTAATTTGATGTTCCAGAAACTACTCTGTGTAGCGACATTTAAATAAAAAAATTATTTAAGTTAATTGCTGAATATATGGTTTTCCTGATGTTTTACAGAATTTCCAGTCTGATGTATATCAAACTCAATTTTTAAACCTCAATGATATTATTTGTAAAGCTTAGAGAAGCATTTTCAAGACAGTAGAACGTTTCATTCATCTATAAGACATACTATGAAGACTTAAGTTAACGGTAATAATATAACTCAAATTAACTTCAAACTGAATAATGTCCTTAGTAAAGTTCAGGAAAGCTTCTAACTTCATGTGCTTTCTTTCATCTTTCTTATGATGGAGAACATAAATAAATAACTTTTAATTTCAATGAAAATCTTTGAAAGTTTCTTAGTTCTGAGTTTGCTCGTGAAAACAAGTAATTCCTAACTTTTGTGGAAAAAAAAATCCTAAAGTTTATGTCTTACTGTATGATCACTTTTTAACATGTTGAATTTCAAAAGACCAGAAAGGTTGTATTTAGTAAGTTCGCATATTTCAAACCACATGTTTGTTACTATACAATGGTTTAATAGGAACTAATAATAGAATTTCCAAATATAGTATTATCATTTAAGTATGTTCGTACCATAGTAACAAGCATACATGTATTGGACGAATGTTAGTGGACCATTGGTCATTTTAGATATAATCATTCCAGACATCTTAGTAGTTATAGTCACTAAAAATTAACAAACCTATGTATCAAACTGTTATAGATCTACTTCTTTTTTATTACTTATTCACCACTAACATCTAACTGTATTATTATGGATGATTATATTGTTGAACAAAATTAAATAGCTACAATTCAACGCTAGCTAAATCGAATGTGTGAATCCGAAGTTATATTGAGAGCTTTATTTAAAGTTTAATAAAATATCGTCGTTTGTAATCATATTGTCAACCTAATTTTTACTATTCAGTGGTATATATCATATATATAAATTCACTTGATATTGTTTACTTGAAACTTTCAATTGATTATTAGGACTGCAATTGATCAGTCTCTTATTAGAATATGCGCACCCTGTGCGGATGGCCTCGATACCGACTTAATTTACAGGCATTATAAGCAAAGATGGATAGTGTCTTACAGTGGAATTCAGAACGCGTGTTTCGTCCTATTTTGGGACTCAGCTGGATTTACCTGTATCAAAGAGTTGATGTTCAACTCTAGAACTCGAAACCAGTACCGTTTACTTTTAAGGACATCGCGTTAACCACTTATCTACTGAGTCCTTTCCTATATATATATATATATATATATACAGAATATTTTAACGCCCTTAATAAACTGAATCAACTTTAGATATTCATATTTATTTTAATACATTTATAATTATACGACACTTACCGATTTTTCACTAAATAAATTGAAGATGTTTTTGGCATAATAATCATTTGCGAAAAATTATTATTATCATTGTCTTTGAATTTTATTCCAATATTTTTTTGAATTAAATCTAAAATTAATAATTATAAAGGATACTTTAGTAAATAAATAAACAATTTGATAAAAATGTATATTTATATACAATAAAAACAGTATACTAGTATAGTGGATGTGGAGATTATTAAGTTTTTGATTGAGATCATAAACCGGTTGATCTTAGACCACCTTTGGAAACCTGAAAGCATTGAACGACCGCTTCGTCCTATTGTGGGACTCCTCAGCGATGTGCATCCACGATCCCGCAAGCGGGATTCGAACCCAGGGCCTCCGGCCTCGCGGGCGAAGGCGTAACCTACTGGGCCACTGAGCCGGCATCCAATGGTGATAGTGTCTAAAATCAACCAATCCACGAAATTTCGCGACCAACTTCCATTGTACTGAGGTAGATGCCTGTCTCTACCCGATATGGATTAGCTCCACTGGTCACGGCTTCTCACTAGAACTCCGAGAATTCCCTCACGAAGCTAGTCACTAGTGAGCACATGTTAATTGCTAGTATAGGGGTTGTGGAGACTATTAAGTTTTTGATTGAGATTATGAAACAGTATAGATTACATATCAGAGGAAAACTGTGTAAAGTTATTTAAGTTGCTGGGTTTAATAGGTTTATTTACTAATTAAAAAAATAAATATATTGATTAATATAATTTATCATTGCAAATCACTAATCAGCCCTTGTTGTATATAATCGACATAGAAGTTGACTGAACTACTTGATTATTAAAAGAAAATTGATCATGACCTTTTAAAATGAGTTTTTTTGATAGTGAATAATAGTTGTTTTATGAAAAAGTCGACTCTGAGTTTAGATGAAGAAACAAAATCAAATAAACATGTTAATCATGTAGTGTATGATTCAACATGACCGGAAGGACCAGTCAAATAGTAACGGAAATGATGAGATACAATTTGACAGTTCTTGGAGCAAGCAAAACCCTTTGGATCTAAACTGGAAAGCAAAAGTTAGGTACAGAAGAGATGCTGCTGTACTCTGGTCACGAGGAAGAAAATACTCTACGCAATCACGTTGTTTTAATGTTTTCCAAAGATCCACGTAAAGCACTTATTGAATAGGAATCTTATGGATCCAGGATCATCCAGCATCATTCAAATCAAAAATGAAGGAAACCACAACGAATATTGTCCAATATTATGCACCCTCTAATGATAGCAATGACGAAGAACAGTTCTATGAGAGGCTGCAATCAATTATAGCCTTTCTACGAGATATTAAAAAACTCAGCCAATTCAAGACAACTTTCATCAGCATTTTTCAAGCCTTACAGGATCTACTGGGAGAAGAAAATACTATGGAGGACAACTGGGAAGGGATCAAAAAAGTACTAACTTCAACGTGTCAAGAGGTGTTGGGTCGCAACAAGCATCATCATAAGGAATGGATCTCTATAGAAACTCGGGACAAGATTCAATAAAGGAAGAACAAGAAGACAGAGATTAACAACAGCCAAACACGAGTAGAGAAAGTCAAGGCACAAGCTGAATACACAGAAGCAAAGAAGCAAGTAAAGAAGAGCAATTAAGCTGACAAGCAGAAATATGTGGAAGCTTCAAGAGGAGTGATATGATGGAAAAAAAGTCAAATTACGATTGATTTACTCATTATGAGTTTTGCTCAAGATTACTTCCGCTTTGATTCATTATAGTGATTACTCAATGTAGTAATTGTTTTCTTTTCTCGTATGATATTTTATTCTGTATAATATGCGAGATTCTTGTGTTCCATTGACATGAACTATGCTCAGTATGTGATTTCTTATAACTCTAAGTATTTTTTCATATATGTGATTTCATCCTAATTATTAATCAAAATGGGTGTACAATCAATAAATAAATAAGTATAATTTCTACTACGGTCGTCGTCGTCGTGTTTTGTGGTTAATAAATCATCACTTATACCAGTCTTTGTGTTCTTGCTTTCGCATCGTGGGAATTGCAGAGGCCCCTCGTTCCGAGTATAAGTGATAAACGTTTCCGAAATAACAAGAAGAAAATATGAGACAGTTATATGACACGACAAAGAAACTAGAAGGGAAATATAGTAAACCAGAGAGACTGATCAAGGAAAAAGAAGGCAAGACAATCACCGAGATTCAAGAACAGAGGAACAGATGGGTAGGATACTTCGAGGAGTTCTTGAATAGATCAGCTTCATTGAAACCACCGGACATCGAAGCAGCACCTACAGACCTTCCTGTAGATCTCACTCCACCAACGACAGAAGAAATCAGGATGGTCATCAGACAAATCAAGAGTGCAAAAGCAGCAGAACCTGACAATGTACCAGCTAAGGCTCTTAAGTCAGACACAGAAGTAACTGCACGTATACTTCACGTGCTATTCCGGAAGATTTGGGAGGAAGAACAAGTGGCAACAGACTGGAGAGAAAAACACCTCATCAAGATACCAAAGAAAGGAGATCTGAGCAAATGTGAGAACTACAGAGGCATCATATTACTGTCAGTACCAGGGAACGTTTTAAACAAATTGTTTCAGAACCGGGTGAAAGACTCAGAAGACACTCAACTTCGAGATCAACGGGCTAGATTCCATAAGGCTCGGTCTTGCACAGGCTAGATCGCAACACTACGGATCATCGGTGAACAATCAATCGAGTGGCACTCATCACTATATATTAACTTCATCGACCATGAGTAAGCGTTTGACAGGATGGATAGGAGAACTTCATGGGAACTTCTCCGTCAACTGAATTATGAAGACTTCAATATCTGAGGGAAAGCACGGAATACAATGGACAGCGTGGAATCGGTTAGAAGATTTGGACTTTGCAGATGACATGGCTCCTCTATCCTATACACACCAACAAATGCAGATAAAGACAGCCAGTGTAGCAGGAGCCTCTGCATCAGTAGGCCTCAACATACAAAAGAGAAAAAGAAAGATCCTCAAATATAACACAGAGAACATCAACCTAATCGCACTTGATGGAGAAACTCTGGAGGTTGTGGAATCATTCACTTATCTGGGTAGCATCGTCGATAAACGTGAAGAATCAGGTGCAGACGTAAATGCGAGGATCACCAAGGCAGAGGTAGCATTCCTACAGTTGAAGAACAAATAGAACTTGAAACAACGGTCAACCAATATCAAAGTGAGTATCTTCAATATGAACGTCAAGATAGTTCTACTGTTCGGAGGTGAAACTTCGAGAACTACCACAACCATCATCACAAAGGTACAAATATTGATAAACAATTGTCTACACAAGATGCTCCAGATCCGTTGGTCCGATACTATTACCAATGACCCGCTGTGGCAGAGAACAATATAGTTCCCACATGAAGAGGAACTTAGAAAAAGACGTTGGAGGTGGATAGGATGTACATTGAGGTAATCATCAAACTAAATCACGAGGTGTGAACTAACTTGGAATCTTGAAAGTAAACGGAAAAGAGAAAGACCAAATAACACACTGCGCCGAGAATTCAAAATAGACATCAATAGGTATCCAAGTTGAACCAAGTTTGAACTTGATAGTTTCAATGAAATTGAGCATCGGGTAGAGAGTTAATAATAGATATATTTTTTTAATACTCCAATGAGTAAAAAATTGTATTTCTGACATTTCGTGACTTAACCAATTTAATGTCAGTTGTATAGACACTCCAAAGAAGCGGCTTACAATAAGTCACGAAACGTCAGAAATACAATTTTACTACTCATTGGGATATAACAAAAATATATTTATAATTAGATATAAATAGAATGAATAACAACTAGAATGAACGGTAAAGGATTGTTCAGAACTGAGTTAGATGGTGAATGTTAGTGAGAGTACTATGCTCTTCCAACAGAAGTAACAAACGTAAGTAAGTAAGTAAGGTTCAACATGACCAGTGCTTTTTTTATAAAGAACATACATCTCACTTTATATACGAATTACAAACTTTCACTTGGCTGAAAATATTTCTAATGAGACATTTTCTAACAGATCTACTGTGTACTGTTGTTATTTTTTCTTCATACATATCTTTTTATTACAGTTTATTCCTTATAAATATACATAGCATAATGGACCACCTATATTCTTAAGAAAAATAATAAATAATTTTTCACAGTTTAATGACTTCTTTACATATGAAGTTTCAGTTGTTTTTTTCTTTCTTTATTTGTTTATTTATTTATAGGGATTTGCATACTCTTCCATCATGTCATAAAAACAAATTGTTTTCGTTTGTTTTTTTGTTTGTTTGTTTTTCTAAAGCTCGAACTATCTATTCTATTTCAATTGCTGATCATATAAACTGTTAATTATATTATTGTCACCTTAAATGAACATATTGTTTTACCTGAAAGATGGATAACAATATTTTATCAATATATAAAATTCACATTCTATCAAAAATGGCGCTAAATAAAATGGGTTTTTTTTTAAAATTTACAATTTTATTTTTTATTTTATATTTTTACACTTGTGTGTTTATGTTAAATTGAATTTTGTAAATTGAACTTTGATTATCATAAACTGGATATTTGTTGTTAGAAAAATAAATAAATAAACAAGTTTTGAATATAAATGACCAGAAAAGAGAACATTGCCGTTACTGAAAATGTATTAACGAAATGTTGGATTCTATTTATGATTATCAAAAAAAAGAAAAAAAACGTCATGAACTGAAGTACTATGAAACGTTTTCTTTTTTCAAATGATTGTTTGTTTTTTAAAAATAGGGTCTCTTTGAGGATAAACTTATAAAGAGAATGATTTGGTAGTGTCACATTTTAGCTACATTCATCTCTAAGTATAAAAAAAACCATTATCAGGTATATCATTAAGTCTAAATGCTTATGGTTGTTTTGTTTTAATTCCAGATGACGTTAATTCTTTGTTAAATTTACTTCGTGGTTATATCTCAAGTTAGATTCGATGTTATCAAATTGTGAGATGAAAAGTTTGTTATTCAATATCAACGGCATACGGTGGCGCAATTTCGTGGATTGGTTGAAGTTAGACATTAACACCGTTGAATG